AAAAATCACTCAAAACATGCCTTACAAAATGTATTAGTTTTTGACCAAATATGACATGAAAAGTTCACATTCTGACAGGTAGTTTCATAAAAATGAACTTTTAAAAATGTTCTCTAAATGCCCTAATTAGATGAGCAACATGGAGGAAATGATATCATTTTGGAAAATAATTTTACAACGATATTTATTAAAATGTATTAGTTTTTGACCAAAAATGAAATGAAAGGTTCACATTTTGACAGAAAATTTTATGAAAAGACATTTATAAAAATGAAAGTCTAAATGCTTTTATGAGATACATGCAGGAAAAGATGACATTTTGAAAAATAATTTTACAAATATTTTTGTCAATTTTTTTTGTTTTTTAGCAAAAAATGACACAAACAGTTAAAATTTTGACAGAAGAATTTTATTTTAAAAAATTATTATAAAAAATGTTTTCTAAATGCTTTTATGAGATACATGCAGGAAAAGGTGACATTTTGAAAAATAATTACACAAAGATTTTTTTGTCAAATTTTTTAGTTTCTCACCATAAATAAATTCACATTTTCACAGAAAAGTTTATAAAATAAAATTTCTAAAAATGTTCTCTGAATCCCCTAAATTTGTGAGAAATATACAGAAAAAGATAACATTTTGAAAAATAATTTTACAATTTTTTTTTGTCAAAATGTATTTGTTTTTGACCAGAAATGACAAATGTCAAAAATTTATATTTTTACCATAAAAGTGGACTGCTAGATAATTCAAACACATTCAAACAAATAGAAGAACTAAGAACTTTAAGAACTAAAAGTAAGAACTTGCAAAAAATTTAGTTCCAAGTGTGAAAAGAGTGATGACTTTTTAATGCCACACTGAAAGCAGTAAGAGTTCCTGATGATGGAAATGGTTATAGCTGAGTTCTGTTCTGACTCCGTCACACCTGTTTGCACATGCAGTACCAGAATCCATGGCATTGAGTATGAAGTTTAGTTAAGAAGGCTATTCTTAATTCAACTAAATGTGAAATAGATTTTGCATCAGTGAAAGGGCATTTGAAACAGAAAGGTTTGCTGACATACATCAGAATCAAATAGCTGTTAGCTTTTTTTTTTTTTTTTTTTTTACTTTTTCCACCTTCACTGGTGGCAAGTGTCAGTCTGATCCATCTCTTCGGTCTCACCGGGTCATCATCCAGCCACTGCAATAGCGATTGCTGAGAACTGCAGGGGATTTTCTTGGTTACTACTCAGAAGCAGATGCCCTCAGCTTTCATGTCCCCTTCATTTCCAAGCACTACAGACTCTTTAAAGACTCTGAGCAAATTACTCTGCTGGGTCTGTAATAAATCTATTGTTCTATTCCCCAGTCTCTTCTGATTGAAAGCGCAGTAAATTTATTGGGTGTATTTTGTTGCACACGGTGCAAAATGATGTTCACGTCAATCCAAACAAATCCCAGTCATAAAATGCGTCACTTCCTGTCGCCCAGTAGATTTTTTCCTTTATTTTTCCCAGAGAAAAAACACAAAAACTAACAGACAATGACAGGCAGATGAACTGGGTATTGAATGTCTTTCATCAGCTGGAGATCAAGTCAAAATAAAAAAGATATGAATTATTGCTTCTTTCGGCTTTTAGCTGAGGCAAGAGTAAACTCATCGCAGACAGAAGTAAATCCACATGAGCAAGGTCTTGCCGACAATTGCCTCGATGTTGCTCCAGATGACTGTCAGGAGAGATTAGAGAGAAATCAAATCCTGCCAAGAAGTGTGTTTTAACTTCTAATGTTTTCAACTCTTTCCTGTTTATGCTTCCAATCAATGGCATCGTCTGGTTGCATTAAAATTGCTTTCAGCGTGTTATTGTTTTGCGATAGGAATATTGTTCGTCTACGTCATGAGTGGTGCTGCACGCAGGAGGGCCTGTCACTGTTCAGCTTCTGACCAGTCTTTCTTAAAAACACACACACACACACACACACACACACACAGAAACGTGCACAACTATTCCTGTCAGGACTCTGCAGTGACTTCCACATATTTAGACAGGCTAACCAAAACCTCCTTCAACTGTACATCTTCAACCATTTATCCTGTAGAACCTGGGTCAAACATTGTACATTTCCCGTCTGCAGAGAACTGCTTTACATTTCTGTTTGTGCAAACATGGCCTGAAACAACTCTGACGGTCTTCCTGTTCCTGTTCCTTCAAAATAATCAAAGCGTTAATTCTCTCTGTGTCACCTCCAGCGTGAATACACTGACCACGGTGCTGCTGTAAAGGCCAGACTTCTATAACATCACGACCAGACGTGAGGTCTACCGGTCTTGACGAGGTCTGGATTTCAACCGGCGAATGTCTCGAAAAAAGGTACAAAATAAAATTAACACACAAACACACACACAGACGCACACTTTGAAAAGAAACGCAGAACATGTGATTTTCTTTGGGCAAAACAAGCTCCCAAAAGCAGTGCCAGCGGCTGAGCGCTCATATTGGTGCAGTGGCTCTGCTCTTGTTTTGCCAGCCGTCATTTCCTATAAATTCCTGTCTGACTTCATTCCTCCAGCCCTTTTTACCTCTGATCTGCGTCACTGTCTGCCGATCGTCTTTAATCTGTGCATAGAAACACATGCAAAAGCCTCGGTACACATTCTTTATGTAGCTTCTACTGACCCAGACACACACACACACACACATCAAACGCACACACAGAAAACACTGTGCACTTTGTTGTCTGCAGTCCTTTTACTCTTGCTCCCTTCCTTGCGTCATTTGTCCTTCATCGTATGATTAAATAAAAGAAAAGTGAATCAGGATCGTCCCGATGTTCACTGTTCGGCTATTTTTGCATCATTGAATCAAACCAGCGGCGAAAACTCTGCTCTGTTAATGCAATCCTTCGCACACACTCTCTGTCATTTTAGTATCATGGAGCTTAAAGTTGATATCCTTATAATTTACCACAAGATGGTGAACAGGAGCTGTGGTCAGTCTGGACGTAAGGAACTGCAATCAGTTACGTGTAGGAACACTAGCCTCGGGAGGAAAGGGTTTCAAATCAGTTGTCAAACAAACTGATTTTAGGTTTAATGTAAAAAGGCTCTAAGTGTATCATTTCCACCGCGGACCTCTGCGAGAGGAAGTATATTATATCAGCTGTGATAAATATTTTTATACTAAAGGAAAGGTTTGATTTTGGGGGGGGGGGGTTGATACCACCCAGGTAGGAGCTGCTTAGCTTTGCGGAAACACTGGAGGAAAAGGAAATAAGGACTAGCGTAGCTCAGCGCTAACAGCGGTAAAGGGCTGTTTCTTGGCCAGGCTCGCTGTCTCTTTGCTTCAAGTGTTTATACTGGGTCACAGTGGATGTTGGCTGACTGTGCAGTCCTACAGAGATTAGGTAGAAACATGTGAGTAGGACATCGTTTTTCAGTTGTGGGGAACAGAGAGAATCCCTGCTGCGCCTGTCAGTTCTGTTTAAGCATCTGATGTCTCAAAGTTGTTGTTTTTTTTGTTTGTTTTTTTCAAGTCACTGCAACTTTTGGTTTCAGTTTTGGTCACTGTCCTCAGTCTGGGTGCACGAGAAAATGTATAATGCTTGAAGTATGTAAAGTGATGCCATATAGCTGAAAAATCCTGAAATATCGTAAACGTATTTCTAAGTTTATTTAATTTCTGCCTTTAACAATAACACCTCTGTATGAAACACCCAGTTAAAGCAGCTCAGTTGAAATTGGCTCACGAAATCCGAGGGCAGTCGACGGGGCGAAAACGTCGCTGCAGTTGGAGTGTGATTGACACGTTACCTGATAATTCATGGAGCTTGTAGCAAATGTGTGTAGTTTACTGTTACCTGGAGGTTCTGTGCAGCTGGCCCGTGAACTGCTGCCTCAGCTGAAGCCTGGTTGGTTGGTTGCCCAGCTCACCTATATGGACGGGCTGGGCCTGTGCCCACGGATGTCAAACGCCCAGTGTCGCCGTAGTTGAACCTGTTTTAAAAACAAACATCATGTCTTTTACTTTTTGCCTAATGGACCCTGAACAGTTCTCAAATGAACCAGAGTCACACCGTCGACCCAGAAAAGACCAGGGAGGGGCTTCGTTTACCAGACTATTTATTTATATCCTATCTCCATATATAGTCATATCTATGTCCTATATATATTATATTATATATATATTTATAGGTATATAATTAAATATATACATTTACATACATGTATTTACATAGAAAGAAAGTCAAAAGATAGAAAAATATGTAGTACAATCAATTGAAAAAATACACTTTCAAAATTAAATACTCACCAATATATATATTTTTTTTCTCAAATCTCAAATCCTTACCGTCACCCATCCACCTCCTTACCCACTCATCACCCCCGTCCTTCTGCTGCCACTCCCTCCTCCTCAGACACCGTGCCTCCTTCTGCTCCCGACGATGTGTTTTTCCGCCCTG